TCCGATCTGGAATGCCTTCTACCCAGGGATGTGCTACTGCGGGTCTTGTGATTACCAAGGTTGGGCGGCACTGTGGTTAACGGCATGGGCCCTGCGCCCTACTGCCTTTCTGAGCCCAACTCACCCATTTACATACCTGTGTGACCTTGGGCAGGTTACTCAGCCTCCTGGTGCCTCAGTGTTACCCAGAAAATGGGAGATGATAACAGTACATCTATGTCGTAGGGTGGTTGTGATGACAGCTTGAGTCTATGTATGTTAAGTGTTTAGATCTGTACTTGTTAGTTGGTAAGTGCTATATAAATATTGGTTGGTGGGAACTCTTTATATATTAAGGAAAGCACTTCCGTGATAGGTTGCAAATATTCCTCCTCAGGTTGCTTCTTGTCTGTTGAGGTGGTTTTGTTTTGTGGCCAAACGGAATAGTGACTGTTGTCAGGCTGCTGTGGGTGCGTGGGGGAGGCCTCTGGGGTGGTGCTCTGCTCTGTGGCCCACAGACATGTGGGCAGGCAGCGGGAGCCCCTCTGGCCTTTCCTTTCCTTGAGGGGCAGCCAGCTGGCTCTGGGTCTTGCCCTCGCCTGCTGGGCCGTGGTTGGGTGTACTCTTTCTGGGGAGAGTGGCCATCACAGGGGTCAGGGGACAGCCCTGCCCAGCATGCGCCCTGGGATGAGGGCCTTCCTGAGACCAGCATGCCGTCCAGCTGGTTCCCACAGCTGGGTGACTCACTTCCCGGCCTGGCTGACAGAGCCACCCTTAGTGACTTTGGGTGGGTGGACACCTCCGTCAAGGGGAGAGGTCTGCCTCTCTGTGGGTGATTCAGGACAGTGCCAACCTTTGGCCTTGCCTTTTCCAGAACGCTGGGTCTCGATGGTGGGCTCCGTGACCCAAGTGGGCTTGGTGGGTCCAGGCAGGGACATGTCGATTCTGTGTTTTCCATTCTGGAAGTGTCCCCTGCTTCTCCCGAGTCAGGGGCAGGCCCGGTGTGTGGGAAGAAGGGGGCTGGAGGGGGCAGCTGGCCTCCCCCCGGCTCCCCGGCTCCCGGGAGCCACAGGCACACAATGGAAGCTGAAGGAGGCTCCCTGAGGAAGGGTGGGCTTCCTCCTCAGGGTGGGGCTGGGCGTCCCTTCCCGTCTGGGCGCTGTCCAGGAGAGCCCAGCCTGGAGGCGGGGAGTGCCGCGGCTCCCATGGGCAGCTGTGCTCCGGCCCTGGCTGTGGCTTTTGCCTCCTTCTGGAGCCAGGATGGCCCACTCCAAGGGGTTAACTAGGTCAGTGCCCGCCCACCCACCTGCCCACCAGGCCCAGCCCAGGATCACCAGACAGAGTGGGCTCGGCCGAGCCCGGGAGCTGGGATCCTCTTAAGCAAAGCACCTTAGCACCCTGTGGAGGCAGGGCGGCCTCCTGCGTGCCTGGGCGCCCGTGCCAGGCTGCTTGGGACACCTGGCCCTGACACCTGGGCCAACCCGGTCCCCAGGGCCTGTGGGCGCGGCACTAAGAGACAGAGAGGATGCCGCTTCATCCTGCCTTCAGGGCTTCACGTGTCCTCTCGAGGTGTGCAGGTCAGGGTTCACTGCCCCCTTCCGTGGGGGCCACACGCACAGTGGAGTGGCCAGGACTCTGGTGCCCGGCCCTGCCCCTCCCGCGCCAGCTGGATGCCAGGCAGAATCACAGGACCTCTCGGGACCTGCCCGGTCCTCAGGTTGCGCCGGGGGGCCTGGCGGGATGGGGGTGGCCCCGCTGTGCTCCCTGGAGGCTGGAGGCCCGGTGGGCGGCGCCTCGGCTGTGTTGGTGGTTTTGCATTAAGAACACGATGGACCCCTGGCGCCAAGAGAGCGGCCAGAAGCTCCCTCATCCGCCTCCCCCAGGAGGGGAGCCCTCTGGCTCGGCGGCCGCTGCAGCCCCAGGAAGCAGTCCTGGTCCTTTCGAGTGTCCAGGCCGAGTCTGGACCGACCCCGAAGGAGGCGGCCTGCTGTCTGCAGTCCACTTGGTCCCCCCGCCTGGGGGAGCTCGTAGAGACCAAATCTAGCTCAGGAGGAGGAGGGCCGAGGCGTGACCTCTCCGGGTCTTGGGTGGGCAGCAGGCTGCCAGGGGCAGACCAGCAGTGCCACCGAGGCCGCGCTGACCTCCCCCCCGGGGAGCCTGGAGAGCCGGCTTCCTCAGGGGGGCCCGGGCACGCAGCCGTCCTGGAGACCGCCGCACTGGGGGCGCTGCAGGCGTGGCCAAGGCTCGTGCCGGCCCATGGGGTTGGCGCCTCACAAGCTGATGCTGTGGGCGGGGAAGGGGCCTTCTGAAGCCAGGGGATCCCGAGGCCGGTCCTCCACGGGCCCGAATCCCACGTGGTGAGGGGAGACGTGCACGACTCCCCTGGCCCAGCCCAGCTGTGCTCTCCCCCTCAGGCCTTGACCCTCTGGGCTCCGTGCATAGTAGGGCCTGCGGGCAGCACGCTCTGCTGGGTGACCCACGGGGTGAAGGGACAGGTCGGGGGAGGAGCCCTCACTGAGGGCTCGCCGAGGCCCGGGGGCACCAGGAGGGCTTCAGGGAGGTCTCGGGGGGCCAGGGTGTCAGGCAGCAGGGAGGGCTAGGAGCCCCGAGCCAGTGGGTGGCGGGCCCCGTGGGGTGGCCCCGCGGGAGGGAGGGCGTCTGGCCTGGTGTGTGGAAGCGCCCCCAGCTGGAGTGGGTTTCAGGGTCCTGTGCAGGGGTCCCATGGGTTCCTGGGCACAAAGGGCAGTATGCTGTCACTGATGCACAGGCACCTCCTTTCCGGGGCAGGAGGTCGTGGGGTCCAGGCTGCACGGGACTCGGGGAGCAGGCGGTACAGGGGACTCACCTCCCAGCTGGCAGGCCCCTTGTCCCATCCAGCCACGGTTCTGCCAGCCCTGGGTGACTCCCCGGGGACCCTCGGGGGCATGGATGCTGCATCTGTCTCCTGTCCTTATCATCCGGCCCCTGCCCGTCCTGGCTCGGTGGGTGATCGGAGGCTTTCCTGGGGAGCAGGGGGCCTGTCGGGAGGACAGCCAAGAGCTGGGGATGCCTGGGCCCCGCCCTGCGCTGCCCCTCTGGGCCACTCAAGACAAGGCTGCTCCCTGGCAGGTGAATTCAGGAGCCTGTTCAGCATGTCCCCAGAGGTGGCCGTGGCCAGGGTGAGGGAACAGGTGGCCTGGGTGTCACGGGTAGTGGCTGTTCTATCTCCTGGGTTAGTTCTGGGTCCTCATCTCTGGCCCCTCTGCCCGGGAGCCTCTGGCTCTGCACCCGGCTCTCAGAGCCTCCCTCTGTTGGGATCTCCCTCTTCCTGGTACCCCTCTGTCCCCGTTGCCAACCCCGCCGGGGTCGGTCGCAGTCGTGGGTGCGGCGTGACCGGGGACTTTCTCCCTGCATTATCTCTCCCCGCAGCTGGCCTGGGAGGGCGGGGCCTGCACGCTGGGCTGAGGCAGCTCCCACCTCTCTCCTGGGTGGGGGGGGGGGGGGGCAGGGGTTCTGCTTTGGTGGGCGGAGCCCGCCCCCTCCCAGAGGAGCCCGGCCGGGCACTTGGGAAGGCTTCTGCATCCCTGCCTGACACGCGGCTGAGTGAGGGCCTGGGGAAACAGGGTGGGGCATGTGGCCCAGCCAGCCCCTGGAGCTTTCAGTGTCCACCTCTCAGCCCTGCTCCCCGGGGCGTCCCCGTCCTGGACCCACAGCCCCTTTGTTGGGGGAGCTCTGGAGGCATGGGGGCTTCTCTTTTGTTTTAGATATAAATGTATCTATTTTATTTACTTTTTTTTGGCTGCTTTCGGTCTTCATTGCCGCACGTGGGCTTCTCGCTGTGGTGGCTTCTCGTTGCGGAACACGGGCTCTAGGCACGCAGGCTTCGGTAGCTGTGGCGCGTGGGCTCAGTAGTTGTGGCGCACGGGCTCAGTTGCTCCATGGCATGTGGGATCTTCCCGGACCAGGGCTTGAACCCGTGTCCCCTGCATTGGCAGGCGGATGCTCAACCACTGCGCCACCAGGGCAGTCCCGTGGGGGTCTTCTCTTGTTTCAGGGGGCTGACATTTACACCTGGGGTGTCACCCAGTGGCTTTGTGTTCTACTGGTGTGGGTCTGAGCCCAGGCCCAGCCTCCTGGGGGTAGGGTGACTGATCAGGGGTCCTCTGTCCTGCCAGGTCGGGGTGGTGGCCCGCTGCTGGGGATCAAGTCTGTCTGGGCCTCAGGTGCCCTCCCCCAAAGGCCGCTGAGAAATGTCCCTCCTGCAGCCACCTCCCTCCTCCCACCCAGGCTTCCCTCGGGGCTCCCCCCAATGCCGTGAGAGCTCCGGGGCCAGCTCATGCACTTGCCCCCTTGCCCCGTGGGGGTTAGAAGCTGGAGCTGCCCGTGAGCAGCGTGATGGTGGGGAATGGGGACTCGGTGCATTCTGCTGGGCGGCAGGGAGGGGCTGTTCCTGGTCCCCAAGGCCCAGCAGTGTACTGGTGCTGAAGGGGCTTGGGGACTTGCTCCTGGCTGGCAGGGCCCCTCAGTTAGGGAAGACCCCGCCTGGGGTAGAGGGGAGGGGACTGTCTGCAGGAGAGCAGAGCGGTTAGGACCCCGCCTGCCTGGTTGACTTGGCTTCGCTGGCCTCAGTTTCCTCATCCGTGACCTGGGGATCTCAGGGGCCCCTCCTAGACGGATGCCAGGGCCGTGAGTGTGGGAAGGTGTCTGTGCGGTGGCCTGAGCAATGGGCTCCTCAGTCTTGCTGTCGTGGACCGAGCTGTGGACGCTGGTGGCACCCTGAGGCCATGGGTGGCCAAGGGCTGAGCCAGAAGCTGGCCGGCAGTGGGCTGGCAGCGCCAACCTATAATGCTGCTGGCATCTTTGATTCCGGAGCCAGGAGCAGTTTCCGTGGCCTGAGAGTCAAGGCCCTCACACCCTCACTGTGTCCCTTCTTGGGGGCCTGGGTCCCCCACTAAGTGCTTCTACTTGGCCAGGACTCACCACTCATAGAAGAGCAAGCTGAGCCCTGTCAGAACCTCCGGGCCAGGGCTGACCCTGACCTTGATGGAGACCTGGGTTGCTGAGGGCTGCTCCTGGGAGGTGGGGTCCTTGCTCCACCCCTGACACCTCTCCTGGGTCCTCAGCCCCTTCCACAGACGTGACAGATGGAGTGGTCTGATTGGCTGCTTCTCCGGTCACTCATGCCCACTTGGCTCTCAGACATCCTCATCTCCTGGCCACTAACGAGCTCGCTAAGCCCTGGCATGACAGGCCCCAGAGCGGCCAGGCCAGCCAGTGTCCACGCTCACTGGCCTCTCCTGCCTGAGCCCAGGCAGTGTGTTGAGGGCAGCTGCAGGTGCCGGGTGCCCGGGTCACACTGGGGCCAAGCCAGGCTTCCCAGATGGCTGCCAGACTGGGGGGCGGGGCATGCTGCCGTCCACCTCTCACTGCCTCTTCTGTGTCCTGCAGGAAATGGCCAATTCCGTCTACCTGGTCATGGAGGTGAGTCCTGGAGGCCACCTGTGAGGACGGGGAGGCTGGGCCCTCTCGGCTCTCAGGCCCCTTGTCCCCTTGCGGTGAGAAGTTTTTTTCATGTCCGTGGGCTTCGGGCCGCCTCAGCAGCGAGCACCCCCACTGACCTCCTCAAGCACGGATTGCGGGGGACGCCTGCCCAGGCTGGAGACAGGGCACCGAGTGCCCGGGGAGCAGGCGCCCAGGGGTAGGGTGGTGGGAGACCCGGGCAGGGTTGGAGGGGCTGCCCTGACCTCGGCCGCTGACCGAGGCATGTGACCGGTCTCTTGCAGTACTGTAACGGCGGTGATCTGGCCGACTACCTGCACAGTGAGTGGACACCTACGGCGGGATGGGCTGCCGGCCGAGGCTCACCCTGACCCATTCTGAGAGGTGGCCTGGCGTGAACGAGCTTTCCTGGGCCTGATGGTGATGCCGGATGCTCCCATCCCCCTGGTGCCTGCTGGGAAAGATGGAAGGGGGAGCGGAGCCCCGCTGGGGACACATGCTGCGTCAGAACCACGAGGGATGTCCTCTCAGGGCAGACGTGGTCTGCAAGGGTCACTCTTGAGCGGGGCCCCGTGCGGCCCGCTGTAGATGTGGTGCCCGGCAGGGTCCCGGTCGCCGGGCGGCTGCTCTGCGGGGGCCAGGCCTGTCCTGGGCTCCAGCGGGGGCTGGCTCTCCACAGGGGGTGGGCCTCCGCAGGGCCCTGGTGCGGGTGGGGGACCACCGTTGAGGCCGGGCCTGGGGCTCATTGCACAGCCGCTGGCCGTGGTGCGTGCCCTGGGCAGCGGGTAGAGGGAGCTGCTGAGAAGCGGCCCTCAGCTGAGAAGGGGCGGGGTGTGCCGGGCAGCAGCGCGGGGCTCGCAGGCTGGGAGCGGACACGGGGCAGCTCAGGGTCAGACGGCGTGGCCGACGGGCCTGGAGGCCGCAGGGAGGGGCGCGGGAGCCATGCGGGGCGGGAGGCCGCTGGCCCGGGGCGCCCGGGCGAGCTGCGCCCCACGGAGCCCGTCTCCCCTCAGCCATGCGGACGCTGAGCGAGGACACCATCCGGCTCTTCCTGCAGCAGATCGCCGGCGCCGTGCGGCTATTGCACAGCAAGGGCATCATCCACCGGGACCTGAAGCCCCAGAACCTCCTGCTGTCCAACCCTGGCGGGCGCCGTGCCACCCCCAGCAGCATCCGGGTCAAGATTGGTGAGGCAGCGGCCGGGGCCCCGGGGAGACCGGCGGGGGG